AATATGCCCAAATTTCCTATACGAGAATTTAACAGAAAACTAACAAATCTTTTGTATCAAGCTAAAGCCCAGACAGATTTTAATGATTATCACGACGTAAAACAATCGATGGTGGAAACTTTACAATTTTTTAAGTTATATTTATGAAGCAAATACACTGTATTGAATGGATCGTTTAATTTACATCATACAGTGATACTTATATGTACAATAATCATTATATTGATGCTGCAATAAATTTACTTAAAGTTACACTCAAATTTTCATATTGCATTTTATATAACACATTTGTGTTTTGAGCAAATTTTGATAATTCTTTTAAAGTACTTTTTTCATACTTTTATTTCGTTACTTTATGTTATTTTAGAAATTTATTTTAGAATTTATTTTACTTTAAAATTTATTTTATTTTATTTTAGAAATATGAATTTTATATGAAGGGCATTCATAAGGGATGCAACTTTTAAAAGTCAACTAGTATAAAATTGCCGTCAGATTTACGTCTATCGGTCTATCTGGATACTCAAATAGACTTTCATAATTGCCACAACGTAAAACAGTCGATGATGGAAATTATATAAATTTGCTAATTACGTTTATGAGACAAGTGTACTATATTGACTAAAATCATTAAATTTCCATCATACAACAATATATATTTTTTGCTATATTGATACAGCAACAAACTTAGTAAAAGTTACAGTCAGAAGCGAGAGTATTGCAGGGTGCGAAAGCAACTGGGCTTTAGGTTGGTAAAAAGATTTGTTAATTTTCTATTAAATTCTCGTAGGAAATTTGGGTATTAACAGGAAACCCTCATTGAATGCATAAAAAAATTTCGAGTTGATGTCCATTTTATTCGTAAAAATGATTGAAATTGGAATTGAATAATATATATATATTTTGTTTTCTATTTTATATTTGACGAACATGACAAATATATAATCTTCTGTACCTAATATCAGTGATGATAAATCGAGGATTAGTCATGTTAACTTGGTAATTAGATCATTATTAGTATCGGAAAATTTTAGTTCATCCAGGGGTTCATGTTTCTGAAATCGTTAGCTTTGATTAGTACTTAATAGGAACCCATTGAACCTTCGCCGGTTTGTCGTTAAATTTGACAAACCCGGTTTTATTGCAATGGGAAAATAATATTTCGTCTCGATACCTATTGGATCATAACTGGCTATTAACTAATTCAGTATCGATCCGTGTCGCGAGACTTACAGCTCAACGTAGATCTACGAATACCTATATTTGACTTCAGATAAATCCCGAGGGAGGTATCCGATCCCAAATATCTATCAAGTGTGACACGAGTAAATTAAACGATTTACTCAATTTTATGAGGTATATTTATCTCATAAAAATAATTGAAAAAATTCCAGCATTAATAAAGATTCCAGCATCAATAAAGATTGCAGCATCGATTGTTTAATGATGAAAACCTATCTGAGTTTTAGTACTGGAAAATTTCATAAAACCTCAAAAATAATTGAAAAAATACCAGCATCAATAAAGATTCCAGCATCGATAAAGATTCCAGCATTGATTGTTTAATGATGAAAACTTATCGCGCGTATCTGAGTTTTAGTACTGGAAAATTTCATAAAACCTCAAAAATAATTGAAAAAATTCCAGCATCAATAAAAATTCCAGTATCGATAAAGATTCCAGCATTGATTGCTTAATGATGAAAACCTATTTGAGTTTTAGTACTGCAAAATTTCATAAAACCTCAAAAATAATTGAAAAAATTCCAGCATCAATGAAGATTCCAGCATCGATAAAGATTCCAGCATTGATTGTTTAATGATGAAAACTTATCGCGCGTATCTGAGTTTTAGTACTGGAAAATTTCATAAAACCTCAAAAATAATTGAAAAAATTCCAGCATCAATAAAAATTCCAGTATCGATAAAGATTCCAGCATTGATTGCTTAATGATGAAAACCTATTTGAGTTTTAGTACTGCAAAATTTCATAAAACCTCAAAAATAATTGAAAAAATTCCAGCATCAATAAAGATTCCAGCATCGATAAAGATTCCAGCATTGATTGTTTAATGATGAAAACCTATCTGAGTTTTAGTACTGCAAAATTTCATAAAACCTCAAAAATAATTGAAAAAATTCCAGCATCAATAAAGATTCCAGCATTGATTGTTTAATGATGAAAACTTATCGCGCGTATCTGAGTTTTAGTACTGCAAAATTTCATAAAACCTCAAAAATAATTGAAAAAATTCCAGCATCAATAAAGATTCCAGCATCGATAAAGATTCCAGCATTAATTATTTAATGATGAAAGTCTATCTGAGTTTTAATACTGGGAAATTTTAATTTATCCCGGGATTCACGTTATTCTGAAGTTGTTAGCTTTGATTAGCACTTAAATGGAATCTTATGGCTCATTTGGAATCCATTGCTCATTCGCCGGTTTGTTCAATTTGACAAACTCGGTTTTACTGCAATGGAAAAATAATATTTTGTCTTGTCACCCATTGGATCATAGCTACTAATTCGGCATCGATCCATGATGTAAGACACACAACTCACCAAATTCGTTCAACGTAGATACTCATTAGTCCTAAGCTCCTGAGCGAAACTGCGCGAGTGAAGTTAGAATTATTTATAATCAGCTAATGCGTGCGCGCCCTGCTCGAATGCGAAATAATTGGACATTGCAACGAACGAGCAGTTCGATTGTACGGGATTATAGCGCAAATCAAATGTAAAAGTAATTAGTTGATCTACGAATACCTACGTTTGCCGCGACTTAAGATATATCCTGATGGAGATGTTCAATACCTCCAATATCTACCAAGTGCGACACGGAAATTAAACGATTCACTTAATATAGTATATTTGTCTCATAAAAATAATTTAAAAAATTGTGAAGATTCCACCATCGATTGTTTTATGTTGTGATAATCATGAAAGTCTATTTGGGTTTTAAATTGATACAAAAGATTTGCCAGTTTTCTATTAAATTCTCGTAGGAAAGTTGGGTAACAGGAAAATAGGAAGTCTTGATTAGATGCATAAAAAATGTCGAGTTGATGCCCACTTTATGATGTTATCTATCCTATTCGACGAGACAATCCCCTGATAGTTTCAAGCGTATCGGAATAAAGATTAATACATTGACTGTCACGGTGGTCACCGGTGACCGACGTTACAATGTCGCCGTGTCTACCAATTTGCGTGTAAAACGTAACCAACAGAGCTTATGACCAAACCGTATAGCCGATCAATTAAATGCATAGCCGATGAGACGAGCTGACGTGGATATATACATCGCATTTATTTGCCACATATTTGGTAATTGAAACTCGAGCTGAATATCGAAATAAGCCGTGAAAGCGGTTTTGTTGCACGCGACTCTTGACAATTGCGATTTGGGAAAATGTGTAATCGCGTTCCTAGCGGAATTAATTATTGCACGGGGCTAACTATGACGTGATCCTACCCTAGGGAAGTATCGATCTTGCTGAATTCGCCGCGTACAGTTCCGAATTTTGATCTCCGTGCACCTGATCCATCTGATTTTGTTGATGCCGCACGAAAGCGGGAGGGGAGGGGGTTGTCTAGTTTGGCAGCTGGCGTTTGTGTTACGGGTATATTCTCTCTCTCTCTCTCTTCCTCTCTCTCTCTCTCTCTCTCTCTCTCTCCCTCTCCTCCCTCCCTCCCCTCTCCCTCCCCCCTTCCGATTGCACCGCGCCGCGAGGTTCGACGACCTCTCAACTCCGTGCTTTGCTCCGCAGCTTCATGGATTCCGATTACGTCCGTGCGCTCGCGAATTCATGCGCGCGAGAGACGTGCATGCGCTACATATTTGCGACATGCTGTATTGTACATGCGCGCGGAACTTCGTGGAGAATGCAGACGGACGTCATGCTGACATGATTGAGCGAAATTTCTGCTATGTTATTACGCACGGACGTTAAATAGGTGGGCGCGATTGTTAAGCTTTTCTTCTTGATCATATAACAAAATTTCCGCGCGAGATTCTCATCCAAGACGTCAGAAAATGACGTCGCAGCCATTGCGTTTTCCAATAATTTATCAATACGAAATTAGCAATCACGCGCGCGCCTGTTATCCTCACGAAAAAAAAGAAAAAAATATATATAATGTTTTTCACGAAAGATTTGCTACTTTTCTATTAAATTCGTAGGAAGTTTGAATATTTAAGAAGGAGAATGGGGAGTTCAAATGTCTAAAAAGATATCGAGTCGATGTTGTTGATTTTATTCGTGAAAATAATCAGTCTTTCGAAAGTACTCTCTAAACTTCTTGGAGTGGAATTTCACTCAAAACGAGTGGCAGTATTTACACTCAAAGCAATAGTGAAAATACTGCCACTCGAGATTGCGTGAGTAAACGTTTCGCTTCAGTTCAGAGTGAATTCCATATGAGTAAATGTTTCAATCAATTAGAGTGAATATGTGCTTGTGAATATGTGAATATGTGCTTGTTTGTAACAGTGAAGTACATCGGATTTACTGCTCAATTTCGAATGAAAATATTCACTTGACGAATCAGAGTAACGAATTAACTTTATGGCCAGCACTTATAGTTGGATCTTATATTTAAGACTGTGTTAAATTCATCTTCAGATGATGTACAGATCATTTCATTAACTATGGAATATTTGAAGGGAAACTTAAGACAATCTTAAATATAAGATCCGACTATGAATATCAGCTTATATGAGTAAAGAAATACTCGTGAATTTGAATGACTCAGCTAGTCACCTCTATTTTTCGAATGAAATTTCACTCCAAGAAATTTGGAAAGTAGATAATTTCATTTCCTACGTTATTCGGCAAATACGAGAAATCTTTTACACAAAAAAATCTAATATATAATATAATGAAAAGAGAGAAAACTCAAATACTAATCAAATTTCAAAGGCTAGTAGGAATGCCATTCGTGTAAGAATATAAATATCGATCGCCTTTAATGCAATTTTTTGTTTTATTGTTACAGGAATGACACCAGAGAGGACGTGTTTGTACATCAAGTAAGTTTTTCAAAACGCTTCAGTAGTGCGAAGCCACATTCTCTTTCTTAAAATATACGATATTTCAATGTTACCTGTGATTGCAGTCGGCCATCGTAAAGAACAACCCGAGAAAGGCCGTGCGTAGCGTCGGCGATGGCGAGGTCGTGGAGTTCGACGTCGTCATCGGCGAGAAGGGCCACGAAGCGGCGAATGTCACCGGACCAGCTGGTGAAGCCGTGAAGGGCTCGCCCTATGCCGCGGATAAGCGCCGTGGCTACCGTTCCGCACATTGGATATATCCCAGACGCGGAAACGGTAGACCGCAACGTAGACCCCGCGAAGGCCAGGAGGGCTACGATTCAGGTATGCATCGTCGGTATCCTCACGTATGCCATTTCGTTGAGACTGTTTGTTCCTAATGTACCTGCAAACGTTTGACTGACGAATGATTAAATCAGGTGAAGCAAGGACGGCCGATGAAGGCAACGCGGCCGAGGGTGGTGGCCAGCAGCCCCAGCAGCAGCGACGCTACAGGATGCGTCGCCAATATGATGGCTACTACCGCGGAGCACGGCGTTCCGGGCCAGCTCCCCAGCAAGGTGAGAACCCTGGGGAGGGCGGTGAGCAGGCGGAAGGGACCGGCGAAGGAGGTGCCCCACCGCGTGGTGGTGGAAGAGGACGTGGCGGACCGTCACGACGCTACTTCCGTCGTAACTTCCGCGGAGGCAGGGGTGGTGGACCCCCGCGACGTCCTCGCAGCCAGGATGGCCAGGTGAGAGACACAAATTGACATGGTTACTCGGACTCGTCTTTTCTGATTGTATACCGGCGATACAATGGACGAAACGGAGATTCCAATGTCGAATGTCTCAATCATGAATGACTCTTTCTCTACTATGTACGGTTTTTTCCAAACTTCGCTCTTCAGACTTTCGATTGATACAAACTGTACATTCATCTCATTTTTATGTTCTAATTACAAATAAAGCATTTTTTTTTTTATTATTTGTTTTTAACTTTTTGTAAAAGATACCTTATCTTTAACCTTAGCTGCATTTTTTTGTACACTTTGACTGTACACTTGTATCTTCAATGCGTATACGGTCGAAGTCTTTTTGTATAATGTGCATTGTATCGTGATATACTATCTGTTCTACTTCGTTTATCCATGATCTTTTCTCCGATGCGATCTATAAGAACGGGAACACCGTGCTCCTCCTCTCCTCGTCTCGAATTTTCTAAAGTCAGAGACAGCATGGATTGTGTCATGTTACGACGCTTGTTAGGTGGTCGATGACGGCGAGCATATTGGCGGCGAGGTTGGCGGTAATTCGCAGACAAATCCGCGACCACGTTACAGACGACGATTTCTGCGACAGCCTCGTGTCACTTCGTGCCAACGGACGAACGCTGTAGAGAACCTGCCACCCTCGGGCGCTCGCAAATCCAATTCTGCTCCTTCTCCCGTCACCTCCCTTCGAGTGCAAGCCGCCGATATTCCTCCTGAATCCTGCGATAAATCCGGTCAGGTATTACACTTCGATTCCTCTACCTTGGTCGAATAGATAGGAGATAATTCGCGCCATCTCGCATCTCCTTTATCCGCGGAAGATTCTACAAGACGATTTTCTCCGCGTTGCACGAGACGCTCGTACGGAAGTTTGTTATATGATCGTTGTAGCTCGCGATAATTCGCCCTATATGTATACTGAAAGAAATTATCCGATAAAAAATTAACAAACGGATATTTTCGATCAAATTACCGATGAATTTTTGTATCTGATCAGGAAGCATCCGATGAGAAATATCGGTTTATCCGATGAAGTGCCATTATGAAAGTATCCGATTAAATTTAATCAGAAATATCCATTTGTTAATTTTTTTATCGGATAATTTCTCTCAGTGTACTATTAACTCTCAGTGTAAATATTTATCCCCTCTTCAATGGATTGCACTATTCTGTTTCCCTTTCCCCATGTGCATTCGACGGAGCACCTTAAATACAAGCCATAAATCGGGAGCTATCCAATGTAACGCCTCTCAGTATCGTGAAATGTCAGGACCACAAATTAGGAGCGATCTAGAGATAGAGTTTGGTATACATACTAAGCATCATTAACGTCTGGTCATTAACTAAATATAGAATCACATACGTTTTCTACCTGATATTATGTTTATATGTTTGTGCATCATGACTGCTGATTGTTAGGGGAAATAAGTAACGATATTTCCAATAACATTCGATAAGTAAATCAAGATTTGTCATTTTTCTATTAGATTCTCGTAAAAAGTTTGAGTATAAAAAGGAAAATAGGGAGTCCTCATTAGGTGTCTGAAAAAATACCGAGTTAATGTTATTATATGCATATGTCATTTTATTCACAAGAATGATTAATCTCGAACTTGGATAATTTAATTTTGTATTTTATTTGGCATACTTGGCCTTCTGTACCAATCTAATACTTCTTTTGTATGTAATTCCACGAATATTTTTTACTTCACAAATATTGTTCTCAGTAAATAATATTCGAGATATCGTTGCTGTTTCCTTGGTTCATTCGTCATGATACACGAATGTCCGAGATTTCTAGTCTGGTCTAGTGTCGGGTTTAATCCTGGGTTTAATAGAAGTGACCAGGCATGAATGATACCCGGTGTGCGAACGAGAGATGGTTTCCCGAGTACGCGGTCTGTCGACGAATCTCTGTGAATATATACATACGGCAGCAATGCTTGGCACACACTATTTGCACATTCTTTTTCTACTCTTTTCAGTCGGAGCAGAAGTCGGATGCACCTAAAGATACGGATGCACCTGCCGCTGCCCCTGCTCCACAGGTAATGTTTGCTTTATTTTTTCCTCTTTCCGATCTCGCGGGTGAGTTCGTTTCAGTTATTCGTTTTCGCACCCACACCTTCGGATTTATTTTCTTCCACTGTTCCCAGCCTTTCCTACTTTCGTTCTCGTTATGTCCCTCGAGAAAGTCTGCATTCCTGGTAACAGCATAGTTTGATAGTCGAGACTTCTGCGGGCTGGAAAAATGCTGGATTGCGTTCCCGGGCTGAAGCCGCGTTTTTTGCGAGTTTGTTTCCAAAGTTTTGCGAACGTTTCAGTTGATCCGTGTCAGGTTGTTCTTCTCTGTAATGAAGTGAACTGAAATGTTCATGAAACATTTGAAATTTACAGAAATCACAACTTTAATCTGACAACTAAATCCAGCAATAGTGTGATCCACAACGCCTCGGAGAATTTTTGTACAACTTCTTCGAAAGAGAAATATGGATAATATTTAGATGCCTAATATGCGATAATATTCGCGACATTCACAAGTGCTAAATAATAATACTTATCAATGTGTTTGCAGGAGAGCCAACCGGTGCAGAACACCACCACTACCGAGAGCACCGCCTAACCGAGAGAGTAACGCTACCACAGCAAAAAACACTCCTTTAAATATACAACACCAACACCCGTTATACACTAAGCAGCAGCAGCAGCAGAAACAGCAGCAGCAGCAACAACAACTAAAAAACATCAATAAAAAAAAGCTAAAAGAATCGCAAAAAATCTTAAAAAAATAAGAAACCAAAAACACTACTCCACACTCTCCCCACGGAGGCATAATAAATTGAGATGCGTATGGGGGTCGAGGAGCACACGAATGTAAGGAGATACTTCGCCCGCCGCGCGTTCCTCGATTCCCCTTCCCCCGTGTGCTTCTTAATTTAAGGATGGCTAAGTTGTAAGAGCGAATTGATCGGTAGAATGCGAGATAAAAACAAAGAATGCGCGCGCGCGTGCTATGCTATGCGACAGAAGGGTAAAGCAATTACGGTGCACGGAGCGATGAGTTCGAGCGCGGCAAGAAACACATTAACACATATATGTGTATAATTTTTTTGTTTTCGTTTTTTGTGCATATTTCTTGTTTCGTACGTTACTTCTGATTTTTCCTCGCTGAGATGCTTGAAATCGTTCCACATGCGACATTTGAGTTTATATTGCTTTTACCATAAAGGTCCCTTCATTTTCGGTGACTTTTCATCAAAAAAAGTAGTGGACATACCATAGTGATCGCGAGTAACGCGGCGATAATGTGAGTACACGTACGTGGGTCATGCGTATTGTCGTAACTGTGCGTGTATCATTTGCAATTTAGCCTCGTCTCGAAGTCATTCGTTTCATTTCGACTTCTGTGTCGCTGTCTTAAAATTATCATGATAAAACTACCGTGTTGCTTTCACTCTTTTATTGTTTCTTACTCGTCAATAAGTAGCGTAACAGAGAACGATATTCGATGTGCGCGCACCAACGGCGTATTTGCGATTAATAGTATATCAAATTTCTCTTACACTTTATAGCGAATTTGTCGTGAAATTGAGAACAATTATTGTAATAGCGTTTACTTCTTTCATATTTTTACAAATCGTAGTGTACAGTGTCAATTTGGCCCCTGGTGGGTCCGGCGGAGTGTGTACAAATAATTGATTATTGTTTTTTTGACTTGCGCACTATTGATGCAATTGTGAGTAAAACGTCCGGTCGTCTTCTGAATCTTGACGTCGTTCGACCATGCATCGGGAAGGTCGTTTTTAAACTACAAAATCGCGCATGCGGATCGTTCGATTTGACTTTCAGAATAGGAGCCCGGGCGTGTCACAGCCATCGGCTCGACTGACAATACGAAATCGTAGACTGTCACGAGAGTACGATAGCAAGAGAGAGAAAGAAGGAGAATAACAAAGAAGAGAGAGAAAGGAAAAATTTATATTATTTTGCATGAAGAACTAATTTTTAAAATTTTAGTTTGTAGTATCGTCGACGGTTAAATAAAAAATATATCCTCGAGAAAAAAATTGAAAGAAGAAATTTGACAAAAATGAAATATCTTTTTATCTGGCGTAATTATTGGTTCAGATTTTTCTTCTGCGTTCGAGTCTGTATCCAGGCGACACAAGACGCCCCCGCGATTGGCGTGAAGGACGCGAAGATGCGCGAAACACACGTTCCAGATCTTTCGAACGTCTTCCGTACTCTCGTGTCGTTTGGGCATAGTTTTCGGTTGATATCACTCGTTTACCGTCGTCGTGTATGTGGTTCTGTGCTCGTTAATCGAAAGTGTGAATAAGAAAAAAAAAAAAAAAAACGGCCGCCGCCGCCGACTGCAAATCGCGGTAGTCGTTCTCTACCTAGGTGCCCACAGAGAAATTCCGCCCAGAGAGAATATTGTCGTTGTGCATCACGATCGTTTTTAACTGTGTCTCACTTGTTCCATGTCCCGTTTGTCAAGTAGCGTTTGTCAAGACACCCGTGTGTTGAGTCTGTAAAGTGCATACTATCTAAGTTTGTTTGTACGAGTGTCGGGGAGATCGAAGAAAAACTAAAAAAAGCCGTAACTCGCGGGGATGTAACATCCGATTGCTTAAGATTTAAGGAGCGGGTTTGTGGGATGCTCATATTTAGAGAGAGTAATAAGGAAAAAAAAACAATAGAGAGGGAGAGAGTGAAAAAGAGAGGAGAGAGCGCGCGCGAGAGAGAGAGAGAGTGTGTGCGTGAGTGGTGCCAAGTGGAGAGAGACAAACGTGCGGTTACGTTACGCGGACAGGCGATTCCCATTTCTACGAACGTTAAAAGCAGACGAAACAAACTAGGCGCGACAATCGCGCGCCGATGACGATCGCGACGGTGGATCGTCTCGTTCGATCACACGGGAAGAGGAGGAGAACCCGGCGGACGCGAGATGTACCAGCATGGCTTACACTTTACCGCTTTTCTATTAACCCACGGATCCGCGCCCGTCGGGCCGAGGGGGACGCGCGAAGCAAATGCGCGGTCCCCCTCTCGGCCGCGTTGCTTAAGCGCAATCGTCCTCCGTCGTTTAACGTAACCGCGCGTGACCCACGTGAAACACGGTAGAGAGAAAGAAACTAAAAAACAGAAAAAGCAAAAAAAAAGAAAAAAGAATCCGAGGGAGAGAAAAGAAAAGATAACCGGCCTCTCGAGACGAGCGGCGAGAGGCGCGAGAAGCAAGCAAGCAAGCAAGCAAGCAAGCAAGCAAGCAAGCAAGCAAGCATTACAAGGGCGACGCGCCAAACCGGGCGCGCAGTTGCAAAACTGACTGCAAAAAAAGAACAATGCATGTGTTAACAGTGAATATCAGAGTTAAAAAAAAGAAGAAGAAAAAAGAAGAAAAAAAAGAGAAACGGAAAAAGCCGAAGCTACAGCGAAAGGAAGAGTGGAGGACACGAGAGAATATCCAAAACGGCGGATCCAATAGTTAACTTCGCGCGGAACAGCCGCATACCGCGGCATACAGCAAGCGAACGCAAACCGAGGAAGGAAGAAAGAAAGAAAAAAAGAGAAACGCGAAAAAGTAAATGTCCACTCGCCGAGCGACGGACGAACCGCCGCGCCGCTTCGTCGCTCGGCCTATCGCCGTCGTCGAATTTTGACACGGGTCGCCGCCAATCGTCGTCGTGTCATTCGAGAGCGGCGCGCGTCCGTTGCAAAAAGTCGAGAGCGTGACGGCCTACGATCGGGCGACGCGAGCAATTTCACCGGGAGAGAAATTTCATTTGCGCGCGCGCGTTCCATCGATCGCCGCGGAACGGCGGAAAGTTCGCGGGAACTTCGGCCGACGAAACGATCCTCTCCCTCCTCGTGCAGCCGCCCCCAACTCCTGCTCCGCCGAGCGGGGTACGCTTTGCGTGTCGAATCGTTCGGTCCCCGCGATCGAATTTGCGAATTTTGTCGATCCGTGTCCCGCGTTGTGCTTAACGCGCGAAACGTGTCGCGGATCGTTTCTGCCGCCGTGGACCCGGCTCCCCGCAAAACGCATCGGCGAGTCGATCGAGCGCCCGTTATCCTGCGTGGCGAGAAATAAGAAGAAGAGAGAGAGAGAGGAGAGAAAAGATAAATTATTAACTATTAACATCGGCGTTCTTTCGGCACCTCTTGCCGAGTTGCGCGCCGATCATTGGCGAACCGGTCGGACACTCGCCGAGAAAAGAACGGAGACTCGAGTCGCGCCAGAGGGGAGGAGAGATGTGACGAAGGGAAAGGAAAAAAAGAAACATAAAGGAAAGAAATACACAAAGAAGGAAAAAAATTTCTCATCCTTCCATCGAAAGGGATTCTCGGGAGAGGAGAGGAGGAGCTCGCGACCGCACCGTCGCGCGCGCCGCCCTTCTCCCGCTCGAAATTTCCGTCGTGCATTCGCGTCGTGACCTCCGCAGAAAATAATCGCAATAAAAGGGTATCACGTCGCGACAGTCAATTAGCTCCGATTCAGTTTCATGTGAGAGACAGAAAGAAAGAATAAGAGAGAGAGAGAGAGAGAGCGAGGGCGATACTCGGGTTGTATATCGCGGGAAAAAGACGGCGACGGGGACGAAAAGCGTAAAGGAAAGTAAAGAAAACGAAACGAAATCCCGATCAAGGAGACGTTCACAACTTTCGAGAGACAAAAAAAAAGAAAAGATAAAAAAGAAAGAGAGACGAAAAAGAGAGAAAATCTATCAAAAGACCTCGACGGACGCCGGGCACGACGTTGTCGTCTCGTCGTCGTCGTCGTTATCATCGTCGTCGTCGTCGTTGTCGTTGTCGTCGTCGTCCGAGCGTGTCCCGTTAAGTCGTCCGTCGACTGCCCCCTCCCCCCCCCCCCCC